ACAAAGTCCAACAATTCTATATATATGAGAAAATGTCCACTGAGACCGCTAAGGCCACAGATAGACTTAGAGATGTATGGGAAGTTTGGAATAAGTGGTACAGGGGAGGGAAGGGGAACTAAAGAAGGATTGGTGCACGATAGGGACTTTCATACCCTGACATGAAACGACATGGGTAACAGCGTTCAATAGGAATTTCCGTGGTTGTCGGAAACTTTGTTTGTGTAAATACATTTGTTGAGTTAATATTGCATGAGACCACATATCATACTGAAGGAAGAATAGACCACCAAGTGAAATGAGAGTGAAATGTTAACGTGTGCATTTAAACAGATGCAAACAGTGTGTTACTTTACGTTACTTTACTAACTACTGTTAAAACCAAACCTCTTGTCTTTTACATACTCAGTTATGTTTGTTATGTGAATCAACTATGTACTGGATTCATAACCTTGAAAACCTTCAATAAAAACTAAATATAAAAAAAAAACTAACCAAAAGTAAACTCTGCTGGATTTATTTATTTTACTGCTGAAAAAGTTCGACAATTGCCTTAACTGCAGTGAAGAGGTCATTCATTGTTGCTGTTGATAAAATGTCAGAGAGAATTTTACAGATATATTGTATTATCACAATCTGCCAGTTTTGTTGAATGGGACTCAATGTGTAAGAAAAAGAAAAATTGTCATTTTCTGAATTTGGTTGCACCTAGCAGTTTGGGAAAATCTTACTGAAGAAGGTTTAGACTAATATTGAGTCAGTGGAACAGTCAATACCCACAATATCAGGACATAAACTAAGGTAGTGGAAAAGGGTGCCCAAAGAAAGCTCAGTTAAAGGTGGCGCTCTTGATTGTATATTGTCAACAGTAGTCCAACCAGCAAGGCAATTAGGCAGTGTTTTTGCATAGTTAAAATTGGCCTCCATCTGTTGTACATGGGCAATATAACATGTATTTGCTTTGCATCTAATGATGTGCTTACTCAGTGCTTTTTTGGGGACTTTATTTTGACGACAACAGTGAAATAAATTTGAATAGCAGAACAGAGGTCCAATGCGTCATGCCGGATGGAATTGTTGGATGGTATGCATGCTTACTTATAACTATAGTACACAATGGAAGTTATGCATAAGATGTTTAGCAATTGTAGCAATTGTAATACAACCAGTTTTTATAATTGTTTATAAAAATATTAATGTTGGAAAAGGTACTCACCAAAACAGAATATTTTTCTTTTTCTTTTAGTCCATTTATAGGTAGAAATGCAAATGTGCATCATTGTTCAGCTGAGTGTGCTATTGTTTTCTGCCGTCTTATACTCTACAAAAGTTTGCAATGTGTAAATGATAATACACACACCCATCAGCCACAAAATTAAAACCACTAACAAGTGAATTAAAAAACCCCCATTTATTATACTGTTACAATGGCACCTGTCAAGGCGTGGGATATATTAGGTAGCAAGTGAACAGTCTGTTCGTGAAATTAATGTGTTGGAAGCAGAAAAACCGGACAAGCGAAAAGATTTGAGTGACTTTGACAAGGGCCAAATTGCGATGGCTAGACCAGTGTTCCCCAACCTAGTCCGCATGGCTCACCAACAGCCCAGATTTTGTCAGTATCTCCATTGGAATAAAACATGGAAATGCATAAGTCCTGGACTGTTTGTGGGCCATGAGGACTGGGTTGCGGAACCATGGGCTACACGACTGGGTCAGAGCATCTCCAAAGTAGCAAGTCATGTGGGGTGATCCTGGCATGCGGTGGTTAGTACATAGCAAAAGTGGTGCAAGGAAGGACAACAAGTGACCCGGCGTTGGGTCATGGGTGCCAAAAGCTCATTGATGCATGTGGGGAGCAAAGGCTAACCTGTCTGGTCTAATCATACAGAAGACCTATCATAGCTCAGTTTGCTGAAAAACTTAATGGTGGCCTTGATAGAAAAGGGTCAGAACATAGTTAATTGCAGTTTGCCGTGTATGGACCTGTGTAGTTTCAGCCTGGTCAGAATGCCCATAATGACCACTGTCCACCAAAGACAACTCTTTCAATGGTTTGAGGAACATGACAAAGACTTCAATGTGTTATCTACAAATTCCCCAGATCTCAATCAGTCTAAGGGATGCACTGGAATAACAAATCCGATCTATGGAGGCCCCTTCTCGCAACTTGCAGGACTTAAAGGATCTGTTGCCAATGTCTTGGTGCCAGATACCACAGGGCACATTTAGAGGTCTTGTGGAGTACATGCCTTGACACATCAGAGCTGTATTTACAGCACGAGGGGGACTTGCATGATATTAGGCAGGTGGTTTTAATGTTGTTGCTGATCTCTGTGTGTGTTTTTTTACTAGCATTGTGGTACACAATCAGTCTCTGACAAGCTTTACATGAGATATTTATTCTTCAAAATACACAGAACACTAATAAATCATTGCTGTCCTACTTTTTAATGAGATCGTCCTGTATTATTCATAGTTCTTAGATGGGAGGAACACCCAGAAAGAACACAATTATGCAATGCATTATGGATTATTCATATTGGCCTTTGTGTGGGGTGGGGTTAACCTATGAAGCTTGTAATATAAGTGGCCTGGACAAGTAGAGCTTGGGATGTGTAAAATAAATCAATCTGTAACGTCGTGGCCAAATGTAAGACCTCTAGAATGTACTTCCAGAATCTATCCGATTTATATAGCCTTAAAGAAACACTCTGGGCACCAATACTACTTTAATGCATTTGATAGGTTTTTGGAGTTGTCAAACTGTGGTCTGCAGCTAGAAATTGGATGCATTTTTCGGCCATAAATATGTCTCAAATTAATAACAAATGCTGGGGTTCTAGTTCAACAATACGGGTGTAAGTGGTAATTGAATGACCTGCGAATATCAGTGTCTTATGGGTATGGTAAACTGGGTGGGTGTTCAGGACAACCAGAAATTAGGAGTGTCAAACACTCATTAGCCTAAATGTTATTTAATATTTATCCACTGAACTGATTGGGAAATGTTATTCACTGAACATTGTTGATTGATTTTATTTTTTAGGAAAAGTGTCAAAATTTTGAAAAATAAATAGTCTAATTTTTATTTTATTTTTGCTCGGGAATGTTGGCCTAACATTTATAAATGTCTTGTCAATTCTCCACATTTTCCAGTTTAGTGAATAACCCCCGAACTATTTTCCTTTTGAAAACCAAATGGAGATGAAGAGGAATAACAGCAGAAATTGTCATGTTTCTCCTAAGGCAAATTTTCCTCCTAATTTATCCCATTTATCCCATTACTCCCTCACTGCCTATAGTACCAGTATATTCAGGGATAATGCTCCTACTTTAGTTAGGAATGTGCTCGTTCTATGACTTTTACCCACCTGAGATGCTATGAACTGATTAAGTCCATAAAACAGCTTATGTAGTGTGTTGAAATGTAGGGTAATTAAGAGGTTAACACTGTTTCAGGGCAGAATAGGTAGCAACGTGAGCGTGGTGGTGGTGGTGATTGGCTTCAGGTAGCAAACTGCGCCAAAATGTGGATATTTTAAGGGCCAGCTGAGTAAGAGAAATCACAGTGTGGAAGATAAGAAAGTAGAAGAGCTAAATCATTTGCCCCCACCAAGCCTTCCGTCTTTTGTTGACATTTTAATAAAATTGTAAAATAATAAATAAAATATATATATATATATATATATATATATATAAATATATTAATTTTTGTTTTATATGATTCCAGTGTTTTTTGTTTTTTTTTTAATTATGGTGTAAAGGTCATCATCTTTAATGGTTTATGGAGGATGGATTTTTTTTAATGGTATTTTCAGTTGTGGATTTGGCCATTGTATGGCTGATTGGCATTTTTAAACGTTATGTTTATATATGTTGGTAAGTAAGGTATGTTATGCATAGTTATTTTTTTTTCTTTTATCGTAACCCGTAAAGAAACACTGTTTGGCAAAATTAGTATAAAAAAGTATGTATTTGTGTGTTACTTTTTGCAAAGAATAAGGAACAGGGAGGATTACCCGTTTGCTGACTGGTGTTTATTGTGGCCAAAGAAAGAGGTTTGACAAACATAATAATATTTTAACAAGCGAGGCAAACATTCAGAGTGCAAGTTATAGGGCCAAAACGCTACTAATGAACTTGTATTGCTCTGTGTATATGAACTCATTATCCATTTCTGTAAGGTAATATTATAATTCTTGCATTGCTCCTGTATATGGGATTCCAAAACAGAACCTAAATAGAACGGAGACTTTAAATATGACTATTTTGATACAGAGGGCATTGAGCACCTTTCTTTTGTTGGTAAACAATCAACCAATACCCGTTTAATTCTTGATTTTTAATTCTTAGCAAAATGAATAATTCTGTTTACAATAATGACATTATAAAGCACCTTGTGTATTTGTGACTGTTTACATATGGTTTGTTTTTATATTAGTCTTTATTTTTTTAACTCTGGCAGATTGGGTCTGTGAAGGAGTTTGACACTGTTGCCCACTCTGTGGCTAGTATTGGCAGTGAGGGGGCAGGTTACAGTATGTTTCAGTCAGCCTGGCTATCCCTGTATGGGGGTATTAGGTTGCTTTCACAGGCCCGTGGCATTAGGCCTGGCTAATTACAAGGTCGCTATGGCTTTTTGTGAGGCCGTCAGGTATCTTATTACAAGATGAAGAGCTTGGCTTCAATAATTGATCTGTGCAGACAATGGGCTGCATGCTGCAAGCTATCCATCCACCCACCCTATCCATCCTTCCACCCAGGCAGGCAGAAGGAGGACGGGCCGGCCCAGCCAGCAGCTGCTGCTCCCACAGCCCAGGCGGCTGCAGCAGGCGTGTTTCTATGGGAGATGGCTGATGAACCTGTTGAGAAGTGGGTGTTGTTGCTGTCCCCTCCCCTCGGCTCCGAGCAGCACCCTGCTCCCCATTCATCTGAGCCTGCTGGCTGGAAATGACAGCCCTCTTTTGTGTCAGGGTAATTTGTTTATCTACTGCGTGCGGCTCCCACTGCTTCCTCTTTTCTGTCCTGCTTCCCTCCGTCTCTCTCTCTCTCTGTCTCTGTCTCCTCTCCCTCTCCCCCTCTCTCTGAGAGCTGCTTCTCGTTGCTAAAGGCCTACATGGCAGCTCGCCTCCTGCCCTGCACAAGCCCGAGTCTGGACCGGTTCTGCTGCCCCCTCCACTGAGTGCCCCCTTCTTTCACTGAACTCTCTGAGTGCCCTCTCCACTGAGTGAGCTGCTGCTGCCCTGGCGACTAGGGTCACTCCTTCTTAAAGGTACTGGGGGACAGGAGGAAGTGCTTTAACACTGGCTTGTACTTTGTTGATATTTATTAATTTTATGTTGTTCTACCCAAGTTTTTATTTTTATATTTTTCACTTTTTAAGGAGTTATTCCCCCCTTCCCCCTATGTATGTTTGCTGTTGGGGAGGATTGTTTAAATAAAGTGGTGATAGTGTGTTAGCTATTCACTGATGTTGTTAGTTGGAGGGTGCTTGCTTGGGGTTAGGAGAAGCTCTCTCTCTTTCTCTCTCTCTCTCTCTATGTGGCCTGACTTGTTTGCACAATACAGGAAGGAGCTCACCCATTAAGCTGTCTCAGCTTGCAGGAGTTCTGGCTCAGGGCAGATAAAATGCACATTTTTCTAAATCAGTTCGACTACCTCTGTGTGTGATTTCACAGTGTCTAATCTATAACATGCAAATGCAGGTGAGTGAGCAGGAAAAGTTAGTTGTCAGAAGTGGAAAAGTTACTAGCCCATAGAACGATATGAATGTGAAATGTTCTCTTCTGTTATGTAAAAAAAAGGCTGTTTTCTTTCCCTGTGCTGCAGATTACTTACTTTTTTTTGTAAGTCACACCTAGTAACATGCTCAAACATTGTAATGTTTTGTTGATTTACTTAATTGTGTATTCATATGTATTAAACATTGCAAATGTGTTTTAACGTTTGCACTCAATTGATATCATTCTGGTTTACTGCCTTGGCATTTTGGAGAGTCCTATCAGTTTTTTATTTTTTGTATCAGAACTGTAACCTTTATAACTAAAACCTTTTTGCTTGTCACCCACATGTTGGCCATATACATTCTGAAATAAAACAATAAAAATACTGTTTTGTAGGTGACTAGAACAGTCTTTTTACTTCCTACTTAAAATGGTTCTGTTTTTAAAAAAAACAAAAAAAAAATCTGTATAATAGTGCTTTTTTTTTTTTCACGTCCTAATTTTTGCTTAATGGCCCATTGAATGCATGCAGCTTTTTATTTTCATCCAATAAGTAATTCTTTATGACAACTTAGAAATAACTCTGTCTGTCTCTCTCTATCTATATCTATATATATATATATATACACATATACACACACACACACACACACACACACACACCCACACCCCCCATTGTATTTTTATTTTTTTGGGGCCTCAAATACTCATCCCCTTCATTATTGTTAATGCTGAAACTGACAAATCTAACCTCATTGGGCGTGTGGTAAACATTTGACGCATACAACTGACCTAACATAAGCTATTTGCTTTACAATGAAAGCTCGTACAATTTGTAAATAATGCATCGCTCCCTCATCAGGAATATGATTAAAATGGTGTAGTAAAGATAATTTAAATTCTACAATGTATTGAGGATTTTTTTTTCTTTAATTACAGGAAGTTTGTTTTGTTATTTCTTCACGACAACTTGTTAACTTATAAATATGACACGAAAAATGCTGATTATATTGGCACAACCAGTGATTTGAATGTGGATATTTGCTTGCTGTTGCACATATTTAAGTTCTACATATTACTTTGGTGTTTGCTGCACTCCTAAGACCTCAATTTCTTTTTTTCCTGCTATAGGTAATATTTTGTTCACTAAACACTGAATTTTAGTGACCTAAACAACAAATTCTAAAACGTAGGCTAAAGTAGCCAAATTCTGTCTAGAGGTAAAGAATTTTTCCAAATCATACATTTTTGCTTACAATTTGCTTTTTAGTCCTTCGATGTTTAGTGCCCCCTCCCTCAATCACCCCCCCCAAACATGTTTTTTTTTGTGATCTACATTTCAGTTGGTGCTGCTATAATACATAAACCTTTTGTCCTAGTAATTAAAATAAATGCTCCTAATGTTTGTAGAACACTGAAACCAGGAAGTGTTAAGCTCACTTGGCTCTGCTTGTGCCTTATGTTGTTTGGGAGTTTCTGTGCTGGCAAAAGAAATTGCAAGGGTAAATTATAAGCATTTATAGTTGCTCCAAGTCTCTTAATATTCTCTTTAGACTGTCAGCTTGATTGAGCAGGGCCAACATTGTCTCTTGCTCCTGTTTGCATAGCTTGTTTGTCATAGTTACATGGTATTTGTTGTTTATCTTTGTACAGTGCTACTGAATGTAATGGCTCTACATGATTAATATTGATTGATAGCATATTTTGGCCACATGTTAAGAAGTGTGTGTGTGTGTGTGTATATTATGTATATATAATTACTGTTGATAATATCTATTGATGTTGACTGTGTGTGTGTGTGTGTGTGTGTGTGTGTGTATATATATCGTACTTCATTTTTTTTTTTTGTGTGTGTGTTTGTATTCTTAATGAGGAACTTGACGAACCAGTAGTTTAGCTTCAACACAGACTGTAAAGATTCAAATAGTAAGCTTCTGATAGAATGTTCTTAGTCACTGAAAAGATTGTTGGTGATTTTCCGTAGCTGCGCAGAATGCTAGCAGAACAATCTAAACAAAATGGCACTGATCTATGTCAAGGGCCTGTAGGTAAATGTATATGCAGAGCTGTGCACATACAGTACAGTCACTGCTCATTGCATACCTTCCCTTACCTGACAAGTTTTACCACATTTCTATAAAGAGGTTCTGATGTTATCATAATCAGATCTTTTTATGAAGTATCAAAGCATACCCATTGTTTGCTTGTGTGTTTTCTGAGAGTAATATTCCCTCTTGTCTAGTGTTATTTATTTATATAGGTACTCTTTATCAATTACAAGTCACAGATAATTTTTTTTTTTTTTTTCGAAAACAGAAATCCTATGAATTGGGCTGCTGCTGGCTTCCACCAAATCATTTATTTTACATAACTATTTTCAAGTGTCGATTTTATAATCCTACGCTTAAATTAGAATCAGTGCTGTATTCTATAAAGTGTTGCTACAGGGTGCAACCACTTTACACTTTGAAAAGAACATCTTAATCCTCGTTTGTTTGTTTGTTTTCTTTTTAAAAATTAAGTGTCTGTTTTCATACAGTAACGATTTTTTATTTTGCTGGTCAAGCTAATTACTGTGTTCTAAATAATCAAACACAAATCTCCTCAATGTAAGAAGGACCTGCTTGGAGGTCTTTGCTATTCCCATTGTACAGCGCTATGGAATGTGATGGCGCTATACAAAATAATAAAATAATAATCTCTTTTCGATTTGCAGTATGTGTGTCTGTGTGCACATGTTCATAGCCACTATGGTTAAGCAGTGGAACAAGATCCACCAGTGATATTAACAGGCCTCTGAGTATCTCTCTGCTTATACATTCTAAAAAATATTGACTCTTCTATACCTTAAAATTGCCAAGTAACATGTCACGACCAGAGCAGGCCTGTTGAGGCCTGTGATACACTGCAGCAGGGTAGATGCCTTGTATATGTGGCATAAGTGAGACTTGAAAGAATTGGGTGACAGAAAAAATATAATCCATATATGTATTGTGTGTGTGTGTGTATATTATATGAACCGTTCCAGTGATCTTGCTTTTTCTATATAATTTTCAATCACCCCCGTTTAGATCATATAATGTTAATGACAGACCAGCTACAAGCCTTCCTTCCTTCTTCTAAATAGCAGGATATGCTACCTTTCTCCTATATTTGGCACTGTGCTTTTGAGTAATTATGAACCACCCCTGTTTTGGAACCCGTTCAATGTATCCACCACCCGTTTTGTAAAGCAGGACCCTCCCTTTATTTCCCTTTACACTTTGCCATTGTAAAGCCTGTTTGCTCATCAATTTATTTTTCCTCTTTCTGTTTGTTTTCCTCATGATTGCTAGAGTAGCCACTTATTACTAATTCATGGAAAATTAGTTTTTCGCTAAGCATTTATATTTCGGTGTATGTTGTTGCTTTTCTACAGAAAGGCATGATGTGTTTCTTTATTGTTCAATAAAACTTTATTTAATTTGAGGATTGTGTTCTTCCCCTAGCTTTCAAAAATAACTGGACTGATGTGGTGAACCTCCATCTTACCTAAATGATTTTAGGCGAACTCTATACTGGAGTTGATCCTTTTTTAGATAGATTATAGATTTTATTCATGCAAAGATATATATATATATATATATATATATATATATATATATATATATATATATATATATATATATATATATATATATATATATATATATATATATATATATGTGTGTGTGTGTATATATATATATATATATACACACACACAATTTATTTTATCTCCACTGAATTTCCCTTGTTTGCAAAAAAATCTACAGCATATGCATGAACCAGGAAGTAAGGGATTTCCCGTACCAATCCTGTCCCTCCATTTGTTTTTGGCGGAATCATCTTATATAAAACCTCTTATTTCTGAAGTGATAATTGACCAAACTAATTAACAATATGAATGAAACTACTCAGAAAGCCAATGGAAGAGTGAGTTCCTTTTTAATGAATGACTCTTTGACTCTTCTCAACATCACATTGTAGGAGTGGGGATGTAGATGAAATTTGTGTTTTTTTTGTTTTTTTTTACAGACTGCTCCAACTATAATGAATCGCAAGACTATGTTTTAAGATCAAAGTAGCCAGACTGGAAATATTCTCCAAGTCAAAAATGCTTCTAGTTCGGGTACTGCGGCCTTAAATTTAAGATTCACTTTGAATTATCATTTTATTAAATAACCCTGATGGGTTAAAGGAGATCAGGACATGACACCTTTTGCTCGAAAACCATATAAATAACCATATATTGCTTTGATAGTCATTTTAAAGTAAACCAGATATCCACAAATAATGGCTATCTAGGGATGCTAGAGATGAGTTATGCAACTTGATCTGTATAGTCTTCTTGATATAATTATAAGCCAAAATTGTCTTTCGTCTTGTTCGCTAACATGGTCACCAGAGAGGATGTGATTAACATTCATCTATGTCCAAATACTTATTGTTTAATTGACTAAAGTTTGAATTGTCTGGAATTCCAAGTAAATGTCAAATATAAGGCCAAAGTAGCCAAACTTTGGCCTTAAATTTGAAACCAACTTTGAGGCTAACCTGTTCCCCAGGATCGCCAGGCATCATAACCATTTTGTCCGATTAAGTTGTTATGGTACTTGGAGCATTCTTTTAACTTGCGTTGCAAAGCAACATTTATTACTAAGCATGTTGAGGTCACATATTTTGTGTATACTGTACATATGCATTTGTTGTGTTATTGATTTTGCTATAATAGTAACTAAATGATTATTTTACTACTTAATTTGCGTTAATTGATACCCAGGAATTGATTGTATGGTTGATACGCAGAAGTAAATTTTTAATCAGGAAAGGTGCCTGTGCACAAAACCATTTAATAATTTTAAGTGTTGGTTTATTTGTTAAAAAGTGTTG